CAAAGTTTGAAGAGAGCTTAGAGAAATAGGAAATGATTTCTGAAAATTGAAGGAGCCTAAATAAAAATTTTAAATGAGAAAATATCAACTCGAAGAGTGATATCAGCAGAGAGGAATGTAGACCATATGGTAATATAGAGTTGCTCCCAAGCTTCCTCAGAGCCAAAATAAAGAGGGAAACAGAGTCATTTATAAGATTCAGCATGTCAACAAGACAGAAACAAACCAAATGTACAGGAGAATCACATTTCCTGAACCAGACCTGGGAGCATTTTTCTTGTGGCATCTCATGAAGAGGATGCAGGCTGATGCCCAACAGCATCCCTGCAGCATAGGCAACCAGGGTTCCTTCAGGCAGGTTCATCCTTCACTGTTTGCTATGGCATCAGGCAAGGCCCGACCGAGCAAGCATGATTCTAAGACAGGCCAGGTACTGTGTTTCAGAATTACATAGCACGGTGAGCTTCAACCCTGGCTATGTATCAGAATCTCACCTGGGGAGCTTTGAAATATCTTAATCCCCAGACCACATCCTAGACCAATTTAATCAGAATCTCTGGGGATGGGTCCCAGGAGTTAGTAGTTTTTAACAACAGTTTCCTGGGCCACCTGGGTGGTTCAGTCGGTTAAGCGACTGATTTCGGCTCAGGTCATGATCTAGCAGTTTGTGAGTCAAGCCCCACGTCGGGGCTCTGTGCTGACTGCTCAGAGCCTGGAGCCTGCTTCAAATTCTGTGTCTCCCTCTCTCTGACCCTCCCCACTTATGCTCTCCCTGTCTCTCTCTCTCTCTCTCTCTCAAGAGTAAATACTTTATATTTTTTTAATTTTTTTTTTCAACTTTTATTTTTTTGGGGACAGAGAGAGACAGAGCATGAACGGGCGAGGGGCAGAGAGAGAGGGAGACACAGAATCGGAAACAGGCTCCAGGCTCTGAGCCATCAGCCCAGAGCCTGACGCGGGGCTCGAACTCACGGACCGCGAGATCGTGACCTGGCTGAAGTCGGACGCTTAACCGACTGCGCCACCCAGGCGCCCCAAGAGTAAATACTTTAAAAAATGTTCGTAATTAAAAACAGTTTTCCCAAGTGATTCCAGCATATAGCCAGGGTCATGGGGCCTTTATGATGGATGTTCTCCCTTCTTTCTCCCACTGCCACTTCCCCATTCCACTCCCCCACTGTGATGCCCAGGACAATACACAAGACTCACTGCAGCTTAGAGCTCTGATTTCTCTCCCACCTTTGTAAACAGTGGTTTTGACTGTAGCTATCTTCCTTGAAGGACCCCCTCCCAACTATCTGTGCCTTGACTATGACCTAACATCTGCTGTCAATCTTCACTGACATCATTTAATTCAAAAATGACACCAACTGTAATCTTTGGGTAGGCATGTGTCTTTGTAGTCACAGTCACACACAGATACAAAATTGTGATTTTTCTTTCTTTTTTAAAATAATGTAGGACAAGTCATGCATTTTGACAGGTACTGTAGAATGACTTACTCAGTACGCACTCCATCCCTTACGTCCTCCCTCGATTTCCTCTGCCCTCTACCAGAAGGGCTGGGAAATTAACATATCTACTCAGCTTCCCATATAACTAGGGTTCATGGATCTGGTCACAGATAGAGGCACGGTCCCCAGGAAAGACTCCTATTCCTAAATAAAAAGACAAAGCTTCATGAAGAGAAAGGTTTTGCTTGACTCCCTTCTTCCTGTCTGGAAGCAGCCAACTTTAAATTATATGGATGAAAGGAGCTCACTAAGCATGGGAAGTGAGGACATGGGAACAATAGCACCAGCCCTGGACTGCCTATCCTGAGACTTCTTATTACATAAGAAAAGTGAACCCGCGTTTGGTATTAAGCTACTGTAGTCAAGTTTCCGCTGCATACAATCACGTGAAATCCCAGGCAACACATGTATGGTACCATTGAACAAGGTGGACTAGAATAGTGTTTTTCAAAGAAGTTACAGTCCCATATTGAATCAACCTTAAATATATAGATGTAGACACGGAGATAGATGGTAGATAGATACAGATTTCATTTCAGTAGAAATGAAGGGTGTCACTAATCTACCCAATTTCTCCTCATCCTCTACAAGTTAACACAGTTGTGGCTTTTTCTCTGCTGCAAGAATTAACAAAGAACAGGGAGGTTTTTCTTGTCCAAGGTTCATAGAGAAGATGAGTTCAATTGTACAAGATGGATAGGGACCCCAAGAGTTGGAGGAGGTAGATGAGGCCCAATCCAGGGGACAGAAGGGTTCCCTCAAAGCAAGATGGGAGGCAGAGGATGTGACAAGTTCCTCAAGTGATTAAGACCTGTGTTCCCACAGGGAGACCACGTAGTGGACAGGTGGTAAAGACCATGACCTTGACAGTTAGCAGGGTGAACCATGTGTGGCCTGAGGTGGGTGAGGGAAAACTGTGAAGGCAGCTCTGTGGGTCACCCTATCCAGCACTGCTTGACAATGCTGGACAGCATCCCACTTAGTAGAAGCCTCATTGGAAAGATTAAGGCCACCATGAGCTAGGACTGTGGTGTTTCAAGGTTTCCTGGCACCACTTAAATTCTCAGATGCTTGTTAATTCATTAGAGGTAGAGGAAGCCATCCAAAATAACCGATACTGGACTCATTTTGATAAAAAGAGAACTTTAGAATTAATAAGGCTGGGGGGAAAAAAACCACAAAGAATTGTGAGAGCTGATGGTTCTTAGAGTTTCATGTTGGAGAATTCATTCTTCTCGCCCAGCCCATTGTTTAAAGAGCTGTTCATTCTACATTATAATCATTGGGAGCAACCCAGTCACTAAGGATTGTATTTATCAGAAGATAATTAAACCTTGGAGAAAAGGTTCATATTTGGTTTTGATCAAACTAGAGAAAAGGAGTGAGGAAGCCAGTTGCCCCTTCTGGTAAGGCTTTAGTATCATCAAACTGGGGGGTGGAAGGGACTCTTGAAGATCATCTGCTCCACTACACCTGTGATGCTAAAATCCTCTCCCCAGCACCCCAGCATTGCACCTCGAACTCTGACTTGAGCACACCTTCAGCATACAAGGCACTATGTGGGTACAGTGTCACAAACGGGATGTGAGGGCAGAGCCTCAAAATGAAAAAGTGAGAAATGAGTGCATAAACGTTTGTAACAACACTCAGTTTTCGTGGAAAGTGGGGTGATAAAACAGGGTAAAGTCTCAACAAGGGTCTACAACGCGGGTCTCCAGGGGGATGGGAGTCAATGAGAAACTGTTCAAAGGAGACTCAGGGAAAATTTTGGTAGAGTGAGAACAGACTCCACCAGTTGTACAACTTTGCTGTGAACCCAAGTGGCAGGGGAGGTCACAGAAAGGTGTTACTCAGGTGAGAAAAGGAAAAGGAACAAGATGTATACGTATATGTATATGTATATGTATATACGTATATGTACGTATATATATGTATATGTATATGTATATGTATGTGTATATGTATATGTATATGTATATGTATACATATATCTTTACAATTCAAATCCTACTTCCTACTCTGCTCTGTAATATTCATTTTCCCCAAGAAGATTACTGCATTTCATCTGGAGTTCTGAAGCCATTAAGAATGCACTCAAATTCTTCCACCACCTTTGTCCAGCAATAAACATCACTGAGCCCAGCAGCAGCCAGCTCTTCTAGCAGTATGTGAGGGACTATTGGGGGAATTTGAAAATTTTATGGTCTGAAAAGTGGGCCTTAGCACTTTAGCTTTTATTCTCTCAGAGAGCTTATAAATCCCTCTTCATTTAGCAGTTTTCATGAAAATGACAGCTTTTGTTAGTCAGGCTAAAGTGAGATTAGAAATAAAAATTTTAACCATTAATCCTCACTGATTAAAGTGAGACCAGAAATCAAATTGTTACCAACTGTGTGCTAATTTCAGCTTAATTCTTTGGCAAGAGGCTTTGGAAATTTTCAACTCGCCGTGCTAATTCACAATGCCTTACTACTGATGGCAGAAAGTCAAGGTCTCCTTTCCTCCTGGGTCCAGGGTGTGAACAATGACTATTTCAAAATCAGTCCAATAAAATATAAACATTAAATTCTTAGCTATGTTGTTTCTCAGCCATCACTTTCCACACCACTCTCTCCTCCTCCTCACCACCAACCTTCCCCCCACTCCACCAACAGCTATGAAAAAAATATCTCCCCAGAGACTAGAGAATCACAGCTGACTGGCTGGCCTTTCCGCATCAAACAGAATGCCTGCAGCATCAAAGCAGGTGTCACCCCCCACACAAGCCGTTTCTATTACACACAGTGCTGGGAGGGAAGGAAAATCTTCATGCCAATAAGCCACATCAATTCATCAATCAAAATGAATTCATGCGCTAATTAAACTAGCAAAAATTTAAAAAGGCATTTGTGTTACAGACATGAGAGTGGGGTGGGGAGGGAGATGGGAGTTAAAATTCCAGGGAAGTGAAAACTTGACAGACACGGTACCACATAGAAAAGGCAGTAAATACATGGCTGGAATTAACTGCAAGCCTTTCCTTAACTTAAAAATAATAAACAAACAAACAAACATTCACACATACCAGCAACGGGGGGGGGGGGGGGGCAAATATTTTCCTGGTTGGGCCAAAACTGACATTAGCAGGGGTGTCCTCTGTATTGTGCACATTGGGAAAACCTGTGAGCAAAGTAAAACTCTATCCCTCTTTCTTCATGTCCACTTGTCCCTTAATACTGAACATCCTTCCTACTCTTTTTGATGACTTGGCAGGGCTACAAAGTACAGTTACATGGTTAGTGCACTGCACAAAAGCCTAGAGCTGAGGGAAGAATGCAGCTGAAATCCAGTCCATGCTCTGACAGCAAAGTCACATGCTCTGGCATGGAGTTGCTGTCATTAGGAAGCAGTGCCTCTTTCCTCACACAAAGTGCCCTCTGCTTGTGCACCCAGAGGGCTGTGACCCCACAGAAGCCAGGGGAGGTCCTGGTCCTTGCTTTTATTTACCTCTTGTCTCCTGTTTCTCCTGTTTCTGTTTCCTCCCTCTGAAGCTTTGAACTGAACACTTCTTCAGCTGTTTCAGCATATCATAAATATCTGAACAAAGAAAAAAACCTCAATTATCCATCCAAGTGTTTCATCTATATGACACCAAGTACCCACGTATAGGGGAAACATCTTAATGCTTAGTATTGTGTAGACAAAACATCTGGTTGATCAACTTAGTTCATGTTTCTCTCAGATTCTTGAGTACCATAGAAATGCTCTCATACCCACTCACAGGCTGGATTCTCCATTGTAGAGTGCAAACTAGTTTTTCTAGGCTCAAAGAGTCCAATTCAGTATAGTGGAGGCCTGAGAGATAATAAAGGGACAAGGGGGCTGTTTTCCTCTTAACACTAAATAAGCAACATTTAGCCCACTTAGCGAAATATTACGGGAAGAGAACTTTTCATCTTTAGTCCAATTGTTCTGATGCTTCATTTGACAAGATTCTTTCACTGTCTCTTATCTGTGTTGCATTCGGAGGAGAAAAACTTTAATATTTGCTTCAAATATCTCAATTTTATAAAGGCTGTTTCTTTGAAAGCTTGCTCTTGAAAAACAGGAGTCCAGTGGCATGGGCGTCCTAAAGTTAGTACCGGGGCAAATAAATTGGCCCAATCTCAGCTATCTTTGCTCGAAATGACGGAGAAAAACGGTTCGAATATATCAGTCCTGTCATCTGAATCTAGCCTCCTGGTCAGGGCACTCTATAGCATCCCGGCCAGGTAAATGGCGAATGGCGAGGTGAATGGCGAATGTCATTCTCCTAGTTTCCCAAAAAAGAGAAGCAGTTGAGTGAAACGCCAGCCAGGCCCGTGGTCAGACAGTGAGTCAACAGCATAAGGGCGAACTTTCCAGATCTTCCCAGAATTGGCCCCAAGACTTGGTGCACAAGGGGTGAAAACTAAAACTCCTTTTCTTCTCCCCAAGGCAGACCGTGAAACTGTAAAGATGAGCTGGCATTTTGTTTTATTTTGTGTAATAAACTGTTCTTTTCACAGCAGTTGGCCCTGGGGGGGTTTCAAATAGCACTGCTTGGCTGCAGCTGTGGGTGTGGCCCGGCTCAGTCCAAAGGCAACTTGGAGACCACAGCTGTGTCAGGCCGAGCGGGATCTTAAACCTCCCATCTGGGCTGCACACTTTCAAGTTCACCACCCACCCCCCTCCCCAAAAACAAGTGGAGTCATTTTCACAAGCCAGAACCCCGCAGATGGGAGGTTCTGCTCTTCCTCCGCCCGTGGTTACTTGGGGGGTAGGGGGGGCACCTCCGATACCCCCAGAGACTGACCCCCACAGGCTGCTCGGGACAGTTTCTGAACCGTCCCCGGGGCCATCCCTTCGCTAGCCACGAGAACCCTCCGCAGGGGCGTTGGTAACAGCGGTCAGCATTTTCAAAGGGGTTACCGGGTGGGAGGGGTTTTCTGTTTGGTGTTTCGATTTTTTTTTTTTTTTTCCCATGACTCTTTCTCGGGCTCTCACAGCCCGCTCTGACAAGTGGCATGCGTGCCCCGATCCGGTAGATTCTGACACCCTTCCAGAAAAAAAAAAAAAAAAATTCTTCAAGGGTTTCCTTTGAGCCCCCGCTTCCAGCTCCAGCAAATAAATGACAAAGTGACCCCTCCGCCGGCAGCGCCCAAACGCAAGGACGGAAGCGCGAACTCTGAACCCCTTCCCATCCCCTAAGTGACGGGAATCACTCACTTCTTTGTCTCACTGAGGAAACTATGTGGGCTCGTGAATGGCTTCTTTTCTGACTGGATTACGAGTACGTCAGAACGGGCACCGTCTGGGAGGGCGGCGAGCGAAAACGCAGCGCCCGGCGCACGTCTGGGCGGCGGGGGTCGCCGCGGCGTCCTCGGAGCGGCAGAGAAAGCCCTGGAAGGCCGCGCCGGGCCGCGGGAGGAGCCGCCGCCAGGGGGAGCGCCACGAGCCCGCCGGCCTTTGTTCGCGCCGCGGCGCCGGGGGAGCGCGGGCGGCTGCCGGGAAGGGCGGGGGGACGCGCCCGGGCCCTCGGCGGTGGGAAGGACCCGCGTCTTTGGCAGTCCGAGTCGCGTTCGGGCTTTTTCGGCGGGCACTCTCGCTGTCTGGGGCTGGGCGCCTCCGTGTGCTCCCACACGCCCGGCCTTCGACGCGGTCCCGTCCCTCCTGGCCGGCGGCGTCCCCCTGCGCGCGTAGGGGATGGGGACGGGGACACACCGGGGGTGCAGACGGAGCGGGCGGGGGACGCCAAACAAAGCCTGGGGAGAGGGCGAGCGAGAGGGGGTTATAGAGGGGGTGGGGCAGCGTGTGTGCGGGTGGGGTGGGGGCTAGGGGGAGAGAGAGAGAGAGAGAGAGAGAGAGAGAGAGAGAGAGACAATAGAACTAGAGAGCAAGAGGAGGGAGAAACGGCAGCTCAACGCAGCAAGTCTAAGCTGAACGCAGTCCCCTGGGAGAGGCACTGTCCTTCAGAGGGTCCCTGCCGTTGGGTGGTTGTGGACCGGTAAAGAAGAGTGAGCCACTCATTTCAGCAGCAGACAGATGGGTCTGTAGGTATAACTAACGTGACGGATAGGCAGGCGCTGGTCTTCCCAGGGATCCTCCTTGGGAAAGGAGCCAACACTTCCCTCAGAGGGTTGCAATAGCTTATCTGTGGAGTGTCAGGCTATCCCAGAAGAGATTCCGTGATCAAAGGCTTGGGAAAAGTGATAAGAACACAGTTTTTTTCCCAGCTAGCAACGCTGAGCAAGTTCCTGGGACCATGGCCACTTTCTTCACTTGTCATGCTTTCTTCCTCTCCGTTTCAGCCAGACTGCTCAGTATTCCTATAGAATTGTAAAGCCTGTGTCCGTCTACAGTCAGAGCCAATTCTGGACATTTGCTGATGACACCAAAGAGGGGAAGACTGACCGTGACCCTGGGAATAAAGGTCACCAAGAACATTTTCAGCCCTACTTCCCTTAGTCTGGAAGTGGGGGAGAAGCAATAGGAGTCTGGTCACTCGGGTTTTAAACACTAGCTTTGAGTTGTAAACTCCATTCAGGGAACAGTAGGAAATGGTGCAGGTACTTGGTTAGTTCATTTCATTTTACCTACGTTGAGCCCCTTAACTCCTAAAACAAACCATTTCTTTCATACCAGCATGGGTGCATTACTTGGTCTTCTTTTCCTCATTCGTAAAATTGAAGGATTGGATCAAGGTACCCTCCAGTTCCAAAATTAGAACAGGTATCTCTGTTCAGGAATTTGCAGAGGAACGTTCCTTATTTAAACATACGATGCAATCATGGGGTGAAGAACACGAAATACAAATTTTTAAAGGAAGAGAGTGAAGTAACAGCATTTAATCCAGCTGAATCTCCATTTCCAAATTTTGTATTTCTAATGTTGATAATTCACTGTTACATGAGGTCACATCTAAAACAGTTAATGCTCCCTAAGTGAGAAGGCAATGTCACCTCTGAGACCCAGCATGGAAATCAACCAGGGAGAACTATGGGGTGAGATCATTTGCTGTTCAAGAGGAAACCATTTTCCTGCACTAAGAAGAGGCTCTTAGACTTTAGAATCCTTGGGTTTTCCAGTAACAAACCCTGCCAGGATGTAGCTGATTTTTCTGAGCCTCTAATTTTTTTGTTCGTATTTTGTCCTCTTTTCACTGTTGTGTTAGTTTTGGAGTTTGAGGACAACGGACAGACACAAACCCAACTTTGTGGCAAGACCACTTCTCAGTTACGCACATCAAATTTTAACAGTTGTGAGAATGTCCGCGATTAAGGCTGTTTCACCTAATGTTTGTCTAAGTTGAGAAGGTTCCAGTGATGAAATTTAAAGTCTGTGGCTAATGAGGAACACAGGTTTTTTTAAACTTCATGTTTAGAGGGCAGTTCTTTAGCCTCTCTGTTGGAACTATGACAATGTGGGTCTGATAAAATATGACTTGGTTTGAAACTATCAAATAGCATTATAAAAATGTTTGGACTAGATTTAGGTCTCCTCAAAGGTGGCAGATTGATAGAGCATGGATAAAGCAAGTCAGCTTCCAGGAATGATTGCTTCGTGAGAAACTGGGCCCTTCTTTCTCCGGAGTGACATGACATTCCCAGACAACGTCTTAACTTGCAGAGTCCTCAAAGCGCGAATCCCAGCTTCCTTCCCTGCTGAGAAGCCTCTCGCAGGAGTGGAAATTTCTCTAGGAATTCTGTAATGGAATGGTACCTTGCTGAAGCTAGGGGTCACCAGGTCATTGCATTCTAATCAGCCAGAAGCCAGCAAGGCCATCACCATAGCTAACACCTCCAGAACAAGCCTGTGAAATATGTTCTCTGAGCTCTCTGATCTCCTAGGTCGACCACCTCCATAAGTGGTTTCCGTCCCAGTCCCGCCAGGTTCTCGCGTGGACCATAGCCCCACCCGATGGCAGGGCCTCATGGTCCCACTCAGTCTGTTCCCCCTTCCTCCATCCTCTCACCTCACCGCCCTTCTAGGTACATTTGCATCTCATTTGTGTGACTGGTGCACCTAAGGCTAGTGGCTCTGTAAAGCAGGAGAGGGTCTGTCATCATTCCAGAAGAGCAGCTAATAATTCTGGACAAAGTATTTTGACTGTAAGTGTTGACTGATCCCAAATCATTTAAGTATTGCTGCTTCAAAATACCATAGGTTGTTTTTGACTCAAGACTTTTATGGCTAAGACAAAGAACAAAGTTTTAGCTGAGACAAATAAACCTGCACTATGGATAGCTCTCTAAATAGATCATTTACATATATATGCATGTGTTCATACATGCATGTAAAGCTCCAGTTAGAGTTTTTCCTATGCTTGGTATCTTAACTACCTCCATATCTGGGCCCTCTAGCACATACTAGTCAAAGGAAACAATATCAGTCTTGTTCACCTTCTTCACCATTAGGGGATGGTCTTCTTCCGCATTTTTTGCTGATCAGCTAATTACAAGAAGCTCTGTGCCGACATGTTCTGAGCTCAGATTCTACAGAGCAGTCACTCTTTCTTCTCTCTCTGCACCCCCCCCCCCCTTTCTGCAGTGGTGGGAGGGATTTTACCAACTATGTTGGCTTTTTACCAAATAGAATAATCTATGGACTAAGCGCCTTACCCACCCCTCAGAAGCCAATCCCCCATAGTTAGTTCCCAGGTGGACTATTAAATGTCCCTTCTCTTCCTTGCTCCCGTGGTTGCCGCTGTGGAGCAGTAGCCACCTCACCGGGAAATTGTTGGCTCCTCACATCACACTGGTTTCTGAAAAGCTCGATGAGTATCTTACCAGCAGGCCCAAAGTCAGGAGCCACAGCATCAGCCAGACCACGTGACTGCCCCTTCAAGCCAGCCTCAATCACTTTTCTTTGCACAAGGAAGCAAAAGCATCTGCCCCACCTTCTGACTGGCCAACAAGTATCCCGCATTTGCATAAAAATGAAATCAGCCCACAGATGTCAATTGCAAGCCTTCTTAGCAGAGCACTCTGCTAGGCACTAAGGAACCAGATACTGGAGGGGGGAAGGTTTGCTAAGAACACTGCAGAATTTCTGAAAATAGCTACAGGAAGAGGAGAAAGCTCCCGGAGGCCAAGCTGCAGCGAATCCTGGAAAGCAGTGCTTGACACCGGAGGTCCAGTCGGCCAAACGGCTTCAGCAGAGCAGCATATTTTTACAGAGTTCATTTAAACCATTATGTCGTGTACGTTCTCTTTTTTTTTAAATGATACATCACTGCTGACAGTTGGCATGTACTGTTTTCATAGCTTAGCCTTTATAAATATTACGAGCACATATCACAGCAGTATTGTTATAACGAGTTACAATGATGTGTTCTTTGAGAGAGTGCCAATGACTGGTTTATATCCTTGGTGATGCTGCAGCATCATAATAAATGTGGTATAAATCTTTTCCAAGGTTCAGCAGTTCTTTTGAGCCAAGAACACTACATGTGGGTTGTTGGATTCCCCGTGTCGCCCCCAACCTTTGAAACCCCTGCTTCCTCAATGCTTTGATATATAGTTCCCAATTTTGAGGATGTTAATATGGTCAGTGATCTAACCACACTCCTTTAATAGAGGGCGGCCTTCATTATAATCTGGAAATAATTTTCATCTAAACATCACCAACAGCCAAACATAATAAAATATGTATAAGTCAAGTAACATTACCCAGAGGCCGCATGGGCTTTAGCAGAGTCAGCCCTGGCCGCTCTACAGCCATGGGACTCTGGGAGGCAGGGGGGGAGGGGGCGTCTCTGTTTGCTGTCACAGGGTGCTGTCATTGTTGGGGGCAAATGGGAGAAAGCAGTCACCCTCTACTAAGATGGCTCTGTTACCGCAAAGGTAGGCCAGCAGGTTTTCTCGGGGAACATCAGGACCCAAAGCAAGGGGCTAAGGCAGTGAAATAAGCAGCATGCTAGAGGCAGAGGCTGACAGCGTTCATCCCTTCCGGTCATGAACTCACTTCATTGATTTGGCCAGGGGGCCTGGTCTTTGGTCTTGGTTCCCTTCTTTCTACCATATGGGACCAGGGTAAGGACAGAGAGATATAGAATTTTAATAATGCTGGGGCACCTGGGTGGCTCAGTCAGTTAAGCATCTGACTTCGGCTCAGGTCACGATCTTGTGGTTCATGAGTTCGAGTCCCCCATCGGGCTCTGGGCTGACAGCTCAGAGCCTGGAACCTGCTTCAGATTCTGCGTCTCCTTCTCTTTGCCCCTCTCCTCTCTCTCTCTCTCTCTCTCTCTCTCTCTCTCTCTCTCTCTCTCTCTTTCAAAAATAAACATTAGAAATAATAATAATAACAATGGCTCCAAGTCCACACTCACTATGTCAGGGCCATTCTGGGTAAGACGGCCACAGCCCTGACTTCTCACATTGCCTGAGTCACTCCCTATAGAAGGACACCATCTCTGGCCC